TGCTTTCACCTCAGAATAAAACATAAGTGCTTTTCTACTGGCCAGAGACAAGAGCTGGCATGTTTCCTCTTTATAGTCCCAGTCTTTCTCCAAAATCAAAAGGAGAACAGTTTTATAAAATTCCAATTATGTCTATATTACATAAATGAGGATGAGGAACAACAGGAGTCAGAGAGAAATAGCCTGATATCTCAAAAAACTTTTCAAATATATAAACCAAAAATAGTTCTGCCTAAATGATTAATTAAAGGGGAAAAAATGTGCCATATCTCGTAAGAGTAACCACAGGAAAGACTGGATCAAAATAATGGGGTTGATGAGAAAAATCTGAGACTGAAGGAATACTTCAAAAATTAATAGACTTTGCAAGTTAGCTCAATTGTCTTGCTTCAGTGACATTACTGAATATTTCCAAGCTATTTTCACATCCTCCTGAATGAACAACAACAAAAAAAACTACAAGGATCACTTTGAAAAAACTTATCTGAGAGTAAGGACCAGCTATATACATGCAATATTATCTCCAGAAGGATAACATGCAGTAGGTTCCTGGGACATTTGAATAAGCAAAGTGATCATAAGTTACCTGAAGGGAAGATGGCAGTAGTTCCCAATAACGCTATGATCCTTTCCCAACTGCGTAGCTATGAAACTACAAAGGGATCACACAGAAGAGGTTGCAGGCTCTGCGGAATTTTCCCACATAGTCTCCTGCCATCCACAATCAAATCTGATAGTATACATACTTTGTGTTCTGCACTTAGGTAAAAGGGAAAACTCAATATTCTTAGCTTCAAAAAATATACAACTTAAATGAGAAAATTTTAAATAATTTCTCAGTAGGTCATGTTAAATGATTCCTTGCAGTAAAGTGAAAAGAAACTCCCCCTTAAAAGTCTTATGTGAGGGGGTACGCATCATGGCACAGTGTGTTAAGCTGCCGCTTGCGACATCCACATCCCTTATCAGAGGGCCTGGGACTGAATCCAACTTCTACTTCTGATCCAGTTTCCTGCTAATGCACCTGGGAGGCTGTGAATGATGGCTTGTCTTGGGTTCCTGTCACCCATGTGGGAGACCCAGATGGAGCTCCTGGCTTCAGCCTGGCCCAGCCAAGCTGCTGTGGGCCTTTGGGGAGTGAACCAGCAGATGAAGATCTATCAGTCTTTCAAATAAATAAGTATGTAAAACTTAAAAAATTCTTTCACAAATATCTCCAAGAAAATCTTATATGGGCTATAAGTCAAAGTTTCCCTCTGTTCCTGAACTATTGCTGTGACTGTTTGCAAAGGCTATGCAACAATGTGACGGACACTGGTGTTCGGCTTACCTGATTAGAAAAGGCCACCTTAGCTCCTGAATTCCAGGTGTGAACAATGACACAATTAACTTGTCAGCAAACAGAAATATGAGGGGCAGGGGATAAGACAACACAATGATAAGTATCATTCTGTTCCTCAGAATTCAAAATGTTGACTCCCTTCAGGTAAAAGTCACACAACAGAACCGAGTTATTCAAAATGATGAAAAAGCACCTCCTGAAACAGCATAGCAATTTCTACTTTAAAAACAAACACCAAATTCTAAAAGAGATAGTTGAAATGAGAACACCAATATTTTCCTTTCCCACCTGAAAATTCACTCCGAGAAAGAGCACACAGAACCAAAAACAAGGAAGTTCACAGCACTGCACTGACCAGGTGTTCTTGTGGTTTGGTGTGACTGAGCGGCAACGTTTGCTGCAGCTTCCTGCGCTGTCTGCTGCTTTTCCCTCCCAAGCATCTGCAGCGAGACGAGATCTTTCTCTGCTAAGGTGTTAAACTCGTGGGGCCGCACACAGGACAAATGGAGGTGCAAGGCACCGGGAACTTTCACTTGTGTTGAAGCTGGCCAAGCTCCCTGTTCACACGCTGTTCAGGCACACAACTGCCAGGACCTAACTAGGGATGTGAAGAACCATTTTTTTTTCTTTTAATGCTCTACCTTTTGCCTACAGGGATTTTCACGAATGAGGTTCAGAGAAAGAAAGGTTTGGGAGTACGCTTCTCACAAACTCTCCAGGGCCTGCACTCTGAAATATTTAACAGGCCCCTGCAACTCCTCTCTGAGAAGACCAACGCCTGCCAAAGAATTCTTTAAAATTCTGTGAGACCCATTTCTAAGATTTCTGGTACAGACACATCTCTAAGAATTTCAGTTCTAGGGGTAATTTGCAAATTAAAACTTCCCTTTAGAAAGCAATTGGCGGGTGTGTGTGTGTGTGTGTGTGTGTGGATTGATGAAGATGGTTCTCCTAAATAGGTAATGTGACACTCAGGTCATAGGTAAAAGCTGTTACAGCAGACATCCTGCAGTGTTTGAAACAAGCTAAAACGTATAGGATTGGTAAAATGAGATTCCAGCAGAAACATTTTTCTGAGAGCCAGATGGCCGAGCCAATACTGCAGTTCCATAAAAACAGAGAAGCAGGTAGGGAAGGGGCAGTCAGGTTCCCACCCCTCCACCCCCACCCCCAGAGGCTCTTCTCATCCCAACAGGTTGGGCAGCAGATGCAATAAACAAGCAATTGTTTGTAATGCAAATGCAACTCACAGGGATGCCAGGGGATGCTCTCTCATCCTAAACCCAAACACAAATGGTCACTCTGCTCCTGACACTCTCCATGAAAATCTATCATTCCGGATGCCAGTGACACAAACAGTCCTGTTAAGGACAGAGTTAAAGAGCAAGAAGGCAGAAGCGTGGTGAAGACGACAGGCTGTCTTCCGGTTAAATGTTTTTGATCTCAGACACATTAAGAACAACTGTTGGGTATTAAAAACCAATGATTGTAACTCACTTCAGTCGTAGCCTCAAAAAAAAAAAATCTAACATAGCCTTGTGGTTAACACTGAAAAGCTTCTGGAATTGTGCAAACTGCAGAATATCTCAAGAAAACATGCACAAAATAAAATTCAATCCAATAGGTAACGGAACAGAAACAAAGCAGCGGACAACAAGGTAAGATAATCGTCTCCGGATCACACTCCACTTTCCTCCACTCCACACCCACTGACATTTGTTCTGGTCACAAATCTTTCCTACACAAAGAATGCCTATCTGATTCACTGAACCTCAAAGTTTTAATACATAAACAATAAATACTTTCCGTTCTATCACCGTTTCAAAATGAAAGGTTGAGAAAAAGAATGTTGGGAGACGTAGGCAGAATGCTGGCTTAAAAAGGAAAAGAAGCATAATTTTCAATACTCTAAGGTATTATTTATAAAATCCAAGATTTTTATTACTTTTTAAAAATTGTTTTGAAAGGAAAAGTAGCTCATCTAGGGAATAAATTCCACAAGTACTGCAAGCACAGCTTAATATAAGACTGTTTTGTGGCTAGTTTCTATTCTTCTTAAGACACGAATTCGCTTTTGTTTCTAAAAAGTCTTCAATAATTTCCATTAGTTCTTATCTAAAATGTATTCTTCCTCTTCAGCCCCCTCAATCCAAAAAAAAAAAAAACCTACCCAACAAACAAATAAGTATCTGATATATTTGCATATTTAGTTTAAAAAAATATAAAGTCTCTTACAAGTATTTATTTGGGGTGGTCTCTAAAGATTAAACTCTACTTGCTTTTATTAATTCATTCGCCTTTTTTAGGCAGAAGGCTCATACGAATCACACAGACACCTCTATCATTAAGTATTTGAAAAACCTATTAAAATATGAAATAGCTATTTCCTATAGCAACCATTAAAAGATCTCCAAGATTATAGAGCCCAGGTTTCCATTGTAGCTACCATGTGGAAATTTAGATAAATCTTATTTCCTACCTGAGAAGTCAAGTATCCTTTTGAAATTTATGAAAAAAAAATAATTGCATTAACTTCTAAATCATAGTGTTTACATCAAGAGATTCTACTTCACACGCTTATCAATTCACCAACTGAGGCCTACAGACCGGCAAGACAACCACACATCCTCTCGCTAACTGCTCCTCACAAGACAGTGCTCTCTGACACTCGGCCAGTCTTCTGCTCCCAGGCTTGGCTCACTGAGGCATTAAACATACTACTTTTCTCAGGTATTTGGGATGGATTTTTTTGTTTTTCAGCTGGTACAAGTGCTACACAAAGAAGGGAAAACCAGAGGATCCATTATCGGATCCTAGATGTGACCCCAGGAGAGTTGGTGAACCCAAAACCCTAATCCCCCAAACACACAGATAGATGTTTTTTGTTGAGGGTTTGGGCAATGTCAGGAGAATGGGGCTGGAGGGGATGATCCTCAGAGAAAACTCTGCCACCAGTATGCATGTTCACATGCTACCCAGGCTACCACGTAGGCATTTCTCACTGTATAAATAAGGTTTCCACTTCCCAAGCAAAGATGAGTGTCAACAAGTAACAAAACTCAAATTCTTCATATACTGTAACTGCTTCAAGAAGTTAAATGCCATTGAATTTCTAGAACTCTACTAAAAGTTAATTGATCCATGAGACAACAAAGGAATAACTTTCATTAGGTTATCTTCAAGTGATACTCTCTACACAATAAAGCAAAAATAGCTCATCCCTCTCATGAGATCTTAAAAAGACATTACTAATACAATAGAACAAAACATCGTTTTTAAAAAGAGCTGAAACAGTTTAGGTTGTAGACAGCTCATGGGTGTTGAAAACTACACAGTCCTTACTTAACTGAAAGATTAAGTCATTTTCCCCCTCTCATCAGCACAGAAAGCACAAGACTCATAAAATCATGGATATGTTGATTTAACTTCATTTATTTCATGAACTTCTGATTAGTTATTCATCGTCACCAGTAAGCCAAATGTAAGACATCAAAGGTAGCACTATGTTAAAATAGCCACTCCTCTTAATAGCTCTAATTTAGCAGTAACTGATCATATATAACAAAAGCATTCCCAATGAGTTTGAAAAAGCATTCTGCCCAAACACAAATTAATTTGCACTTCTGAAAATTATTTGCAGCATCAGCATGTTACTCACTGTTCTCGGGATGGGTGGAGAAAGGGATCCATTTGACATGTATGGGTCGTTGTTCATATTTGGCATCATTATGTACCCAGAATAACTTGAGTAGGAGGGTCCCTTGTTGTAAAGGCCTCCATCTGGATGCTTCCCTGAGAGAATCCACAGAACAAGCAATGTATTTTTCATATCACTGCATCTTTTAGCTGAAAATCTATTAGTTCAAAGACAGATCAGACCTCACATAAAAGATCTGTTTACAAAATATTTTAACTGGATTATTACGCTCCATTTTAGATCGACAGTATTTATTCTCTTAAATGGCTTAGCAGCAAAACCAGATGTTTAAAAAACATGTGGTTCAATTTACTTCAACTACTGACTGATGTTTTTACAAAAATAAGTGTTATCCATCTAACTTAATTTGTTTTAGTACCAACAAACTGGACTAAGAAATACAAAAACTTGAAGGAACACAAACAGAAAACTGCAATGTGAATGTAGTGTCATCTAACTACACACACACAAATTTACACACATGAAGCTAGGCTTTACCTTTTAGGCAAACTCAATAATCACACCTGTGCTTCTAAATTTCTAGATTTTACTGAGGGAAATCGTTGTTATCTAACACATGGGCAACTACCCAAGTATCTAAAGGATTAACTCTGGGAGGCTTAACTTTATGAGATACACTTACATCATTCTACCAAAGAAATATGTGTGTGTGTTCAGCTGATAGGGTTCCTCTCTTTAATCTGTGTAACTACTTGAGGCTGAGGAACCAGCCCGATCTAGGGTGTCCTTCCCCTCCTTTCCCGCTGGACACACTGTATGTACCAACACTTCATTCTGCTCAGGATAACGATTAAGTAATTAAGGGAGAATAAAAATGCAGACTGGGTGACAAATATACCACAAGAGTTGTTTTAAGGAATCCAAGTCACAAAGAACTCCCCTTAAATATAAACATGATAATCTTCCAAAAAATTTTAGCAAGAATCAGAGATGAGCAGAACATCTTATCAGGTTTGATGTATTGGTTCCTAAAAATTTTTACATTTTTACAAGCTAGATTCTGCTTTACTAAGCCATATGTAATCTGCTCATTTGCTGCTTACTTTCTCACTGTAACAACAACAAAAAAATACGCCTGCAATTCTGCAAATGAAAATCCATTCAAAACTGTTCTTGTTGGAAAATAAATTTATGTAGACGGTCATTCTTAAAAAATAATGCATGAGAAAATACGAAGGACCTAAGCTGATTAGAACTTAAAAGCAGGGTCAGAAACTCATTGTAGACATTCCCACTTCCCTAAGGAATCAGGAAACCAAATGAAACACAAAGGCTGCGCACTTTTTCAGAGACAGGTGTTAAATAATGTAACATACACTACAGATAAGCAGGAAGTTTCCTAGGTTTTCTCTTTTTGTTGAAACAGTGGGCATGCTCCTGTCAACTCTAGTCTCCTTTTTCTTGAGCTCAAATAAAAGTAACATCCACACAGCCTACATGCTACATAATAAAAGCCAGTGGCTTACCATCATCAGGATGTTCTCTGGCCTTGTCGTGGTAGGACTCCTGGGAGGCTTGAGCTTGTCTGGCCACCTAACAACAGGAATCCCCACCCCCAAAAGAAAAAAAAATCACCTTAAATTGATAGTAATAATGATGCACATGTGTGTGTATGTGTGTTCCCACTGGTACTTAAAATAGGAGGTGCAGGTACAATAAATCTACGAGGGGTAGGTGAGGATTGAGTACAAGGGAATTTTTCTTTTTCTTACCAAGTACTTTTGACTATTAGTAAGTAACAGAAACAACGAAAAGATACTCAATATGGGAATGATCCTCGCGCCGTTTGCCTGCTGCTTACTCAAACATATCCAGCCCACTTGGATGTCTAACAGATAGGTGAAGTTAACGGGGCTCAGCCTCGTGATAGCATCTTCAACCACTGTTCGCTTCAATCGGATCTGATTAAAAGCACGCTGAAATATCACTTTTCAACTGAAAAATGACAATTTAAACGTAAGCCAACCACTTGGATGGGGGTCTTAAGGCAATTGCCTCAGCGGGTCCCAGCAGGAGCTCCACCACGGCTGGCTGCGCACTGGCTTACAGGAGCAAAATCTAACAGTTCTGTGGTTAATTTGAGCGTGGGGCTACAGACATCTAAAAGGTAGCCCAGTTAACATCAGTTTTGGTAACCACCATCCACCCAGGCTCAACCACGTGCAAATCAGTGGTATTACCCCCTTCATCATCTTCTCCGCGCCTGCCCATGGCCCAACTTCCCACTGGGGTCAATCAAGACTGACAGGGCCCTAATACCTGGGGTTCCAACCATAAAAGTGTAGAAAATGTGACGTGGCTGGAAAATGTATTTACGGACAAGGGAGGACAAGCAGAGAGAAAGAGCTGGGCAGGAAGATTAAGTGCTTTCGAGGCTGTTTGGTCCACTGGACGTGTGCCCTTCCAGTGACCCCCTGCCCCCAGTGCACAGTCACAAATCTTTTACTTGGAAGTGGGTGCACCCTAGGTACCTCACTACCCGCCCTCTGCCCCGCTTCCCCTAAACTGGAGCCAGGGCTAAGGAACACCACCCAGGCCCCCAACCTTCCAAAATGCGTACTCACCCCTGCCATTGGGATAGAGAAGGGAACTCTGAGGTGCTCTTAAACGTGTTGTTTAAACCCCAAATTGTCCCCGCCCCCAAAACCACACGCGTTCTTTTTGGGGGTAGAAGGATGCCATTTAAGGCAAAAGGCATACCCTCCAAGTTGCTTTGGGGGAAAAAAAAACGTTGGTGAAATCATGTGGGTGTCAGGACTTTTCTACCGGATTTCCTCTGGCGGGTTTCCCAGCTGTCGAACCCGGGTGGTCAGCCGAGTGGCGGACGTGAGGGTCCACCCGCGCGCAGCCGCAGCCCCGGCGGCCGGCCCGCGCCTTCCCACCGCCGGCACCCACGTGTCTCTATTTACCCTACTCAGGTTACCAGCGCGCGCCCGCCGCGGGCCTGCACATCTGATAAGGGCTTCTCCCGCTTCCCCACTCAGCCCTGTCGCCTTTTTTCTGCAGAGATTCAGGGCCTGATCCCGGGTCAAACCCCGAGTAAAGGCGTCCTTCTTTCTTCTTTAAGCGGCGAGCGCTGGGGAAAACTAGGGTTGGGCAGAGGTACGCGGGTCCCTGGGCGACTCGGCTTAGCATGCGCTCACCCACAGCCCCTGGCAGCCACGGGCACCGAGTCCCGCGCCGCCCCCGCAGCCCAGGCGCGCGCCCCTCCGCCGGCACGCAGGCTCCGCGCGGGCCCCGCTCGGGAGCGGTTGGGGCGGCCCCGCCTGCCGGGCCCGGCCCACGCTTGCCTCCCCTTCCTCCCCTCCGGCTCTGCGAAGCCTTCGGTGGTTTAACGCACTTTTGCAGACACCCACCGAGACAGCGAGCGGGTGCACGCCGTTTTCCGTCCTGCGTTAGAACTCCTCACTGTGTTCAGACGGCCTCTCCTGTATGCCTCGCGCCCCTCAGCCCCGCCACCAAACCCGGGCACGAAACGTTAGGGGCGAAGGGCAGCTTTTTCCTGCCCGCAAACCAACCGTTTAGCCACCGAATCCCTAAACACTTGGAGTGAGTTTACCTGCACGCCCCTGCTCCCGCCCTACACAACCACGGGGAATGGCGATCCAGGGGCCCGGCCAAACCCACCCCCCCTCCCCGCCCCAAACGACGGCCCTACTCGGGACCGGTCACCGGGACTGGCCGGCGCTTCGACCCCCTTCCTCCCTCTCTGCTCCCCGGGGCCGCCACGCTCCCGGGTTCGGCGCGCGGCCCGCTCACCTCGTGTCCGTTGCTGGCCGGGATGATCTCAGACTCGTTAACTAAGGAGGACTTGATGTCGGCCAAGTCGCCTTCCTCTTCAGGGTGACTGATCTCGGCAAAGATCTTCTCCTTCTGGGGATCGCCCTCGTCCTTGAAGGGGATCATCTCGTCCGTGGCGCAGAGTTCCGGGTCCCCCCCGCCGCCGCCGCCTCCCCCGGAGAGCTGGGGCATCCCGACGGCTCAGTAATCTCCGCTCCTCTGCGGGAGCACCCGCGGCGACAGCCGGAGAGGAGGGGTCCGCGCAGGTCGCAGAAAGGGGGAGGGAGAGTTGGGAGAGGGTGCGGGAGGGAGGACGGCGGGCGGAAGCGAGGCGGGCGAGCGCGGGGCCGCCGGCCGGTAGCCTGAGCAGCTGCGGCGGCGGGATCCTCCGCGGCCGCCTGCGCTTTCCCGCTTCGCCGAGACCAGCGCCGGCGCCTGCCCCCACGGCCGAAGGGCACGGGAAGGCGAGAGCCGCTGCAGCTGGCGCCTCCGGGGCGTCTGTGCGGCGCCGCGTGCTAGGCTAGCCTGCCCCGGCCCGGACGGCTACCCCGCGCCCCCCGCGCCACCGGGGTCTGTGGGCCCAGGACGCAGACTCGGAAAGGAGCACGACTCCCCAAAGTGCAGAGAAAAGGCTAGCGGGCGCGTCTCCGCGCAAACCTATCCACCGTAGCTTCCTCGGATGCCGATTTAGCAGTCTGGTTTCCGAGAGAAGAGAGGGGAGCCGGGCAAAAAGGCTCCGTTTACCCCAGCGGAGAAGGTGCGAGGAGAATCAGAAGATAATGAAATGTCCACTTCCTGAAGGGCTTAAAAAAAAAAAAAAGCCGCCTGGGCCAGTGATGTCCGTTTTAGAGCTGCTTCTTTCCTTCCCCTTCGCTTCGGTTTTCCTCCTTGAGGAGCATTTAATCTGGAGGAGGAGGCGGAGAAGGTGGGGGCGGAGGAGGAGGGGAAGAGAAAGAGAAGTTGTTTGCCAAGAATAAAGTTTGTGCCGAGGAGCGCGGGGAATCGGCGGTGCAGAGCTCGGCGGGGTCTCGGGGAGCCACAGCAGGGGCCTTGGGCCCAAACGCTTCAGCCCGCAGCGCGAGCCGACACGCACGGGCAGCCCGACCCCTCTTTGTTCCCGGCTCGAGTTTCTCGGGCCGGCTGGCTCGCCGCTCTCCACGCCTCCGCCGGCCCGCTCTGTCCAGGCGGAGAGCTGCGCCCCTCGGGTTCGCCCGGCAGAAGGGAGGGGACTCTCCGAGCTTGGCCGCTTGCGAGGCTCCGGGCGCGTCCAGGCTCCTCGGCCCGAGAGCGCGCAGCCCGGGTGCGTCCTCCGCGCCCAGCCCCGCAGGTGAGCGGCTGCGCCTCCCCACCGCTTCTCCTCCTCCCGCGCCTCCGCGGCGCTGAAAAGCTACCCACTTGCGTCGCTTCTCCTCCCCCGCCCCTCCCCCGTCTCCAGCTCTCCTTGGCTGCCGGCTGGAGCAGGGGGCGGGAGGGAGTCGGCGAGAAGGAGGTGGTGATTGAGGACTTTCCCCCCCTTTTTCTTTTCCCAGAGCCTGTAGGACGAGTCCTAGTTTTGGGGTGTGTGTGTGTGTGTGTGTGTGTCCGCGCGCGCGCCTGGAGGAAGGGATCAGGCAACTTGGCAAGAGAAGGAAGGGAAGAGCGGGCGCCGCTTAGAACCCACGGAGAGGCACGCTTTGCTCGCGTGAAATTGACAAGAAACTCTGCCCAAATGGCTTAACTCCACCATCTAAGCATTTCTCTTGCCCCCCCCCCCCATTCACTCACCCACTCCTCTCCCTCTGCCAATCTCTCCCCCACCTTCTTTCCGCCTCCTACCCTCTCTCCCTAGCCCAGGCAGGGGGAGGAAGATGAAAGAGAAAGCCGCCGCCGCTGTGATCGACACCGCAGTGATGGATGCTCTGACAGGGGATGAGGCGGGAATCGGGGACTGAGGAAGAGAAGGGGGAGATATAATAGACGTTGCTGAACTAGTAAGAGAAGAGAGGCAAGAAGGACATGGCAAAGAGAGTTGTGGCTTCCCTAAACATCATGCCACCCGCATGCTCTTTGCAGAGAAGGGACAAGAGAGCACAGGCTAGCGAAAAAAAAAAAATCTCCAGGCTTACCGAGAAAAATAGGACGAGGAAGAAGCAACTGAAGACTGAATCCCACTTATCGCTTTATAAACAGCATCTCTTTCATTGTGTCCTCACCACGGGATCTGTTTATGCTAGGTCTCTCGTGGGTTTGGGGAGATACGTGCCCCAGCGTGTGGGAACCTCGTAGAGAACGAAAAGACAACCCGAGGAGGAGGAGAAGGCAACAGGACCCAGGAGAGCGAAACCAGAAGAGAGAGGGAGGACAGGGCAGTCCCTGGCACCTTGGACTGGGCGCTGAAGGTGCAAATCCGAGTCCAACCCCCAAAATTCCCCAGTCTCCACCGTCTCTTTGATGCATTTTGTACAAGGACAGAACTTTTAAGGAGATGCTTTGTGAAAGTCACAGTATAAGCGAAGCTAAAGTTGGAAAACACAGTTTGTACCTTGGCTCTCAAACACCCTCAGTTTAAAATCCAGGCAAAATCATGTCCAATACAGTAGCCATCTATAAAACCTCAGAACAGTAAACAGGAGGCAGGAAGAAATGTATCTTCATCTCCCTTGAATTGAAAATAAGGAAAACAGGACACAGTCAGACTCTAGCTTTATTTTTCGGTAATCGTCAGGTAAAGTTCCCTTTTCTTTTCCTACCGGTGAAACTGCGGGCTGCTGGACCTTGTATGAGTAAATGAGCACTTAAAACTTCACCTGCTGATAACTACTACTTTGGGGGATGGGGATTCACTAGGAAGCAATTTTTGAAACTATCATTTTAAAGGGTTCAGGTAGTCCCATAGAACGTGGTCAGTAGTCACAGGTAAATTCTTTCCGGAAGATTCTGGTAAAATTAAGGGGCTGATAAAGGGAGCCAGGAAAAGCAAAACATTAAATGCACTTTAAATATCTGACAACGCTATGCCTCAGAGAAGACGATATTCTGCTATCGTGTGCAAGGCAATAATTTTTAAAAATGGGAAAGCAACCCAATTTTTTTAGATGGTTGTGGCGTGCAACTTCCACTGAAATGAGGCGGCAGTGTAAGCCTGTGTCCCATAGATGTGAATATGTCACACATCCCGTTGGAAAATAGATACGGTTAAACAAAGTTACTAAGTCTTCCCATATCGGAGCCAATTTTATAGAAAAAGAACAGGAAGATGTAGTTTCCCCAAAGCAGCCAGAATACACGTTCCTTTTCATCAAACTCCCGAGGAGGGGGAGGGGGCACCAAGAATGGCCACAGGGTATTTTCTGGAAGCCAAGAAGAGATTAAATGACGACTCCTGCATCCCCCCCACCCTTAAGTGCTGCGACTAATTCGAATCGCATTTTCTCCTTCACGTTAATTATCTGGACTCCCTGAGTCCTGTGGAGCCCAACTCCAGGTGTCCTGGAGATTAGGAGCTCGAGAAGATGGGAATTTGGGGAACAATAACTAGTGGGAACTATTTACTCTTAGGGCCGAGGGTAGGTGGCCGCATTTGGCGCTTTGCTGCAAGTCTCTCCTTCGGCAACACTGTTTCTAACGAAATCAGGCAGTGCCTCACTCGGTTTTCGTGGCTGTTTGTCCCCTCCGCCGTGTGCGTGGCGTGGGCTGATTGTCTTTAGCATCGTAACAATCTTCCGATGGGGCTGCAAAAGCTTTAGTAAAAACCATGCACCCACATTTTTGAAAGCGTTGTCAAAGAGGCGTGAGGTCTGTCTCTCTGGCAGGAAAAAACAGAAGGACCCCGAGGGGCGAAGGAACCCCGGGAAGACGTTCCTCCCTCCCAACAGGTTTGGTGTAGTTCTGGCAAAGGCATTTCGGTCGCCGGGCTGTCTCCTCTAATTCGTGCGGGGGCTGCCATTAGCATAAGCAGCCGCCTCTTCGGGTGCCGCGAGTGGGTGCCTGGGTCCGGGATGTGGCGGGTGCGGCGCCGGAGGAGCGCGGCCGCCCGCCGCCCCTTCCCTCGGATGCAGAGGCAGGTTGTTCGTGTGAACTCGAGCAAGCGACGGGAGGCCGGCTGTTGGAGGTTCGCTCCTTCAGGATGTGGGTTTCAGGGGGCGTTTTGATGTGATTGAATTCCGACCGTGAAACAATTGCTAGGGGCTGGCCGGATTGCTGTTGGTTTTCCCCCTCCCAGTGGCTTTGGTTGGTTTGGGTTTCGTTTGGGAGCTAACTTATTTTATATCAACACTTCTTTCTGCACCACGCTGTGCATGGGGGCGAGGCGCCCACCCTGCCGGAACGGAGGCGCGGGGGAGCGGAGACGGGCCTGGCTGCCCGCTGGGGGCCGGGGCGAGGAGCAGGACCCACACCCATCTCAGGGCGAGGACCCCTCCCCCACGGCGATTGCTGCCAAGCCCAGTCGGCTGCACACAGTCCAGCGAGTTCTTAATTACAGGGACTGGAGGCAAGCACGGTGCCCCTCACGGCCCTCCCCGCCCCCTCGGTGCGAACCCCCTGCCCAGGTTGGCCGCTTTGTGTGGCCTGGACTCTCTCCCAGCTGCCACTTTGGTGGGATCCCAAAGGCAGGGGCCCTACGGAAGAGGATGCCGCCGAAACAGCTAGAGACGAGGACGAGGAAACGAACAGGGCGATAGCGGAGTCGGAACTCCGACCCCCTCGCTGGCGCCCCCAGCCTCACAAGCCAACTGGAGCTGTGGGCAGCCCTAGTTTAAGCAGAGCTCGCAGGCAGGAAAGAAAGTGGCGGGGGGAAGTGGCAGTTTGCGTCCCAAGGGTTCTCCCGCCTCTGGCTTTCTCGGAGACAAACTCAGACACCCCCCACCCCCCACCCTTTGGGTAACAGAACTCGTGGCACTGGGAAAACGTCCTTCCCAAATCTGGCCGCCTGCGGACGTCTGGCTTCCGTGGCTCGGCCGCACTTTGGCGTCCGCGGCTGCACGCAACCCGACGCGCTCTAACGTGCGGGGCCTCTCCCATGCTTGGCGGCGCGGGACCAAGGCAGGGGCCCGAATCCTCCTACGGCCCGCGACGAAGGTGCACACCACACACACACACACACACCCATTTTGTGGGCTCCGCCACCCACCCGGGAGGTTGGCGTTCGCGTCCAGAGGCGTCCCTGAGGGAGAAGGAGGGAACCGGGGCCATGAGGGTCGCGTAGGGGTCGGGGATCGAGTCAGAAAGAGCCCCGTGACGGGAACGCGAGCCGCCACACCGAGGGGCCGACTCTACGCCTGCACGAGGGATGCCTCCCACCACGGAGGTTGGAGCCGGAGCTTATTTGCGCCGCAGAACGGTTGCTTAGTGGGCCGAGCGTGGCATTCTTTTCCCTCCTTCCCGAAAACTTTTTCTCAGGGGCCTCAAGTTGGCGAGGGGACCGGCCTCGGGGGCCGTCAGGCAGCGCGGACTCAGGGGCCGCCCCGCCCCGCCCCCTCCCCTCAGCCGCCCCCACCCCCGGGCCGGGGACGCGCGGAGAAGCCGCCCGCGCGCGCCAGCCGCGCTTTATATCCGCGGAGGGCGGCGCCTGCGCAGGGCCCGGCGCGGCGGCGCGGCCTTTGAAGTCGCGGCGGCTGCGGCTTTCATCCTTTCTTTTTTCCCTCGCAGGCCCCTTTGTGTGACTAAATTTGGCAAGAATATGGATCCGAGCCAGCCTTTCCACGTGTGCTCCCAGCTCCCAGCTGAGAAGGCCAAGGGTTCTCTTCCGGGTAAGGAGACAGGGAGAAAGATCAAAGAGTTTGGGGAGCTGGATCTGAAATGTGAATTGAAAATAAAAATCAAGCCTGGACACATTCCAGTTTCTAAAGCAAAACCAACCCTCAGCAGAGGCCGTCTCGCCCTGGCTCGCTCGCTGTCTCTCTCTCCCCTCTTTGTGCTTGCTTGCTCTCCCTCTCCCGAATTCATTCTTGAGCACATGGAATAATATAAAGAGAACATAGGGAAACACTTAGTTTCTCCAGATTTTGTTTTGCAGTAATTTTATTAGGGGAAAATATCTTGTTGGTAATTACCGTTATGTGAAACTGAATTTCTTCAGCCATAAATACTGTCTTATTTCAGTATGCCTCGCACTTTCTGACGCGGCCACGCTTGGGAGGAGAAGCCCGACACGACACGTGTTGTTGCACGTGGTGCTTTTTGTCTGTAGGCCGTGTGGGGACTGCGTAGTTTTCTTCTACAGAAGTCAGAGTCCGGAAAGCCCATGTTGCTGTTTTTATCAAAGCACCCACTAGAATCGTTGCTGTGTGTGATTGGAAGCTATCTGGTTGATAGGCTTCCGTGAGCTTTTCTTAAAAACTAGTCAGAAAAG